ATAAAATTCCAAAAAGTACTTGGATTTCCGTGTATATTGTTTTCACTCTCAACAATGAAGTTTTTATAAGCTTCATTAATTTGTAGCTTGACTTCAGCTCTTAGCGAAATAAATTGTTCTCGATAAAAAGATGTATTATACTTTTTTAAGTTTTTGTGGGTCCGCTCTTTCTTTTGAATATTTTTTATAATAGTTAATGTGAACTAGTGCGGATATCTACGGGTTCCATTAGATTTTAGGGGAACAGTAATGTCGAAAATGTTATACAGAATATTGTTCAAATTATGACATGCAGTGTTTACGTCTGTTTGTTCTAAAACACTAGAACAATCTTCATTGGCAACAAGTTCAACAACATCATAGGAAAATTGGCTTTTCTGAAATTATAATTTTTTGATATCTACGTGAATGATATTACATATCATTCAGGTGGATTCTTGAATAGGGAAATCATAAATGAAGCAAACCTTAACTTCTGTATGAGTTACATGGCAAAATCAATTGTGGTGACGTGGTTGCAGCAGTTTTTTGTGATTTGTCTAAGGCCATTGACTGTGTGAAGCATGAAATACTGATGCTATGAAATTGGTTGGAATATGTACAAATGGTTCGAAACATACTCATTAAATCGGACACAGATAGTGAAAACTAAGGCTTTTCGAATGTTGCAAACATTTATGGTGGTTTTTCCCTTGGCGCTTTTCTTTAAAGAAAGCGTAAACATTTGCAAAATTATTATCCATTACAGTGAAAGTTACAAAACCCAAATCCTAATAAAATAACAGAAGATGGTATGTGATACTTGATAAAAATTCATAACATATTCAAATAACACTCGATGAAGCTCACTTGTAACATACTCAAAACACCTACACCAACTATCAGTCTATCAGACTGATAGTTTTGTCGATTGAATATTTTTCGAACTCTCGCTAGTTTTCTTTATTAGGTAGCATCGATATTGAACTTGAATTCAAAATATAATTTAGAAGAACATATTTATGCACTTGATTTTTTCCTGGAAGCATCTATTGAACAAGCCAAGATATAAATTGTGAGCTGCAATTTTTGTTGAACATTGTTTCTATGACTTGAACGAATATATTATGTCTGCATATAGAAATATTTTTTATGTATATTCAAGAAATATCTTTTGTTACTGTAAATATTTAGGTAAGATTGTCATTTTTATTAGCAGTGTAGTCAAATTTTAGACTTCATTCTGGAAATTGTTTTATTTATGATGAATCAACTTTCTGAAAAATTGAGATCCATTCAACTCAATTTTTGTCCTGAGGACTATCGAGGCATTTGTCTGAAAAAAGACAGTTTTTCGATACCTATTTTGAATATTTTTTCTAGACTCCTCATGTTTTTTTTTTCTTTCAGATTGCACCTGGATCCCTATCAGGAAATCCTGGTTTAACACAAGGAGGTGTAACACGCATTATAAGCATAAGTCCTCAAAGGGTAGGCCAGTCCTCGCCTTTGAGACCAAGTTTAGCAAATCAGTCCATAGTTAATGTTCTCACTAAGTCTAGGTCGAACCCGAATGTACGATTACAATTGTTTCCATCTGGAGAAAGCTCAGGGTCTGCTGCTCAGCAAACTACACATTCAAGACCCCTTAAGAGGCAGCTTTCAGCTGCTGTGGAGAAGAAAGATGGTTATTCTTCTAAATTACAGCATGTTTTAAACCACAGAATTGTACGTTCTAAGCTGGTTAAAGAAAAATACAATGAACATCTTTTGGAGTCATTTTATCTGGAGGGGGGCAATAACATCTTGGATTTGTACCAGTTTGCTAAAAGACCAAAAACTCAAGCTTACATTGCGTACTTGAAAGAACATGCTATTGATCCTCGGGACTATCAAGAACTTAATAGTATAGTCATTCCTCAAACTACTCCAAGTACTCCATCTGCCACGTCTGCCAGCTCTTTGCCAGGCATTTCCAACACACATACAGTCCCAACTAGTACTCCTTCCGTTTCTGTGCCAGAAAGTAATAGTAATATGTCCACTCCAAAATCAGTTTCTACCAAAAACAAATCTTCTCTTCAACCATCCCTTTCCAGTCAAGAGCTTATCGTTGAGAAAGCGAAACAAGAGGCATATGTAGTTCAACGAATAGCTGACTTGCAAAAGGAAGGTCTGTGGTCTGAGAAAAGGTTACCGAAGGTACAGGATATGCATCGGACCAAAGCACATTGGGATTTCTTATTGGAAGAAATGGTTTGGTTGGCAGCTGATTTTGCACAGGAACGGAAATGGAAGAAAGCTGCCGCAAAGAAATGCGCTAGAATGGTACAGAAGTATTTTCAAGATAAGGCACTTGCTGCTCAAAAGGCAGAGAAAGCCCACGAGCAGAACCTTCGAAGGATAGCATCTTTTTGCGCAAAAGAAATTAAAATTTTTTGGAGCAATGTAGAGAAACTTGTGGAGTACAAGCAAAATGCTATTTTAGAGGAGAAACGAAAGAAGGCTCTTGATCAACAACTGAGCTTCATAGTTGATCAAACCGAAAAGTATTCACAGTTATTAGCTGAAGGAATGAACAAAACTGCTGACCCACCAGCTAGTGCAATCTCATCTCGTTCTGTCTCTCGAGCCCAATCTGATACAGAGTTTGACCCAGACCTCCAGAGTGACGAAGACGATGAAGAGACAATAGAGCAAGAAGAAGCTGCATTGGATGATGAAGGACATAAAGAGGAAATTGAAGCTTTGCAAAAGGAATCTCAGATGGAATTGGATGATTTACTCGAAGATGAATTGCTTAAAAACTACTTATTGAATAGAGACAATATACGATTGAGTGAATCTGATGATTCAGATAATGACCAAGACCCCGGTGAAACATCAACAAAATCAGAAGTTGAACAAGAAAGAGAAAGTGGAAAAGCTGAAATCCAGGAGATAGAAGATAAAGTTCCATCTGAAGATTCAGATTCTTCAAAGGAAGACGAGGAATCGGAAGAGGAAAGCGAAGATGAAACGACAATGTCGGAATCAATTACCCAAGGTGAACATACTGAGCTTAAATTATTAGTGGAGGATTCTCATAAAGAGGGAGAAGTAACAAAGACTGAAGATAAAAATGATGACCTTATCAATGATGCTGCAGCAATAGCAGAGAGTATCCAGCCTAAAGGCAATACCTTGTCATCCACAAATGTAAGTAGAAAGCGAATAAGATAAAAAGGACAGTTTCAAATAACTTCCAGTAAGGTTCACTACATTTCAAAAAACTCTTCCAGTGAATAAATAAAATGTTTAAGGTGCTTCTAAATTTAGAAAATGTGGCACAATCATTGATGTTTTTGTCAACTTAAGTAGAACTCCAATCATCCATATAATGGTATTTTCTGCAAACTTTAAAAGTAGGATTAATATGTTGTTGCATACTCTGAATATGCATTACTCGAAACTTCATTTCACCAGAAAAAACCTGAATTAATTTTTTTCTACTTAAAATTATTTAGATAATGTACCATATCAGATAAGGATATGTTGTATGTTTTTGAGGTTTAAAAGTAATTTCTATTGTATTTATTTTTTTGTTCATATGATCAGGGATTTTGTTTTGGAGCACATGCATATTTTCAGAGTTGGCTACTCTCATTTTTTTTTTAGTGTTGGTTTTCATATTAAGTCAATGCTGATGTTTCATAAAATCTATTTTCCATGTGGTTTTGTAGTTATATAGTTAAAGTAATATCTTGAACAACTAACATGAAAATCTATAATAATTTCACATACAGAGTAACCTATTCAAAATTAAATCCTTATCTGATATGGTCTATTGATGATCGTAATAGTTGAAGATTAGATAGTAAGACTTTTACTGTATTCATTGTTTTTTATTCATAATTGGAAACACTTTGAAGTTAAAGTTGCAGACGAACAAATTTATTAAGAACAAGGTATATTTTTACATGATGATTCAAGTGTCTGAAGAATTGAGATCCATTCAACTCATATTCTTTAACTGAAGACTATCGAGGCATTTGTCTGAAAGTATTTTTTTTTTAATTTCATCAAAAATTCTGTTATTTTCTTGAGTTAATCGATTTTATTTTTCAGGTTTCAACTAACATACCATTTTTACTAAAATATTCTTTGAGAGAGTATCAACATATTGGATTAGACTGGTTAGTTACAATGTATGAGAGAAAACTAAATGGTATATTAGCTGACGAAATGGGTCTAGGAAAAACAATTCAGACAATAGCCCTTTTAGCTCATTTAGCTTGTGAGAAAGAAAACTGGGGCCCACATTTGATAGTTGTGCCAACGTCGGTCATGCTGAATTGGGAAATGGAGTGTAAAAAATGGTGTCCGGCTTTCAAAATCTTGACATATTATGGAAGTCAAAAAGAACGTAAATTGAAACGTACCGGATGGACAAAACCTAACGCATTTCACATTTGTATTACGTCATATAAACTAGTAATTCAAGACCATCAGAGTTTCAGGAGGAAAAAGTGGAAGTACCTCATTCTTGACGAAGCACAAAATATAAAAAATTTCAAGTCTCAAAGGTGGCAGTTGCTCTTGAATTTTCAGACACAACAGTAAGTTTCTTCAGCTGTACTCTACGAATTGTTTGTAATTGCAGTCTCGTTATAGGCGATTGTTGTTGACCGGTACACCATTACAAAATAACTTAATGGAATTATGGTCTCTCATGCATTTCTTGATGCCAAATGTTTTTCAATCGCATCGAGAATTTAAGGAGTGGTTTTCGAATCCCGTAACAGGAATGATTGAGGGAAATTCTGAATACAATGAAAGCATCATCAAGAGGTTACACAAAGTGAGTGAAGAGAGTATTATTTGGGCATCATATTGGTGGGATTAAAATAATATTTGAATTGCATGTAATCTTATTGAAATATTGAAAAAAGAAAATAATTACATTTCAAATCATACTTGAAATCACAGGTCTCTGCATTTTCTTCAGCTTGTGGAATGCAAACGTCTATTATATTGAAAGGTCCATTTGCATCAAGTTGAACGGCATTTTATAATAAATTAACATTTCTGTTTTATGTATATTCTATAGGATGATATGATTATTTGATGTTTCTATCTCTTTGAAAATATTTCCTTTTTTAGATAGATCATTGAATTTTTATTGCTTATAATTTTGTTTTTACTTGAAGCTAAACATGTTTTTCCGAACAAAGTAATTGTTATTATACTAAAGATACAAAATTGACCAGTGAATTAAAAAAAATCTCTTGTTTGTAAGTATAAAATTGTTTGATAACATTTTCATACAATAACAAAGATGTTAATGTTCACATAAACTAGAATAAAAATTACAGCAAATAAAAGTAAAAAACACGAGATACACATGGCATAAGGACAACACAGAGTTAATCTTGAATTGAAGCAGTATTTTTATCTTGTAATTATCAGATGATAAATAACGATGGTGGGGTTTTGATCTTCTGTCCTAAATAGAAGAATTTGATTAAAACGTGGTGATGACGATAAAGAGGCCATGTAATAAAATGATTGATATAAAAAATAAATGATGTATCGATGGCTTTCCTTTGTGCTGTTGTTGTTTTATATTTATACGGGGCATTTGACTATGTGGAATCATGTGTTCTGCTGCAGTGATGCTGAAACTAATACTACAGTTTTAGGGGACTTTTCTACCAGTACAGTGAATATAATCATATCTATTGAATCACTCTCAGATAGTGAAAAGTAATGAAAAAAAGGAGAATTGAAAATATTGAATGTGGGATTCTGCTGGACTTCTTTCTGGATTTGGTTTTTTCTTAATTTTTGTTAATGATTTGATATATATTAATCATGTAGTTTTATATAATTCATTGGTGATACACAACTATTGCCTGGAATAGTTTCAGCATTGAAATAAGTTGAGGAAGATATGGAAAATGGTATTCAACTAACAGTAAAAAAAAACATTAACGTTCAAATGTGCTTCTTCCAGTTTGAATTCAAAATGCTTGTCAGTAAATTATTATTTTTATTTAAGATATTAAATTTGTCACATTCAGTTCTCAAAATCATTCTAGATAATTGAGCAACTACATTTATAAATATGAGTTGTGATTTTTTGACAGGTTTAAACTTTTTGAGAGTTACCAAGCCACTATAGTTCTTGCAAATCTACTTTTTGGGGATCATCAGATTATTTCATTATGTAGTTTTGCTTTTGAACTTGAGTATTTTTCTCAAATATGATGAAAACAATACCAATTTTGAGGGTGTAGGATCCATTCAACCAACACCCTTTAATGATATTATCGAGGCATTTGTCTGACTTTTGGTGTAACTTTATTTTAGTAACAAACTTTTTGGCGGTTGCTATGTATTTTTTTTTTTTATTTAAGGTTCTAAGGCCATTTTTGCTGAGGAGGTTGAAATCTGAAGTAGAAAAACAGATGCCAAAAAAATATGAGCATGTGGTTGTGTGTAGATTATCTAAGAGGCAAAGGTTTTTATATGATGATTACATGTCGCGAGCAAAGTAAGTACTTATTAATTTTACGATGAATTCATTCATAAAACAATCTTTTTAGTACTCGGGAGACATTAGCCACTGGAAATTTACTTAGTGTAATAAATGTGTTGATGCAGTTGAGAAAAGTGTGCAACCATCCTAATTTGTTTGAAGTTAGACCAACAATATCTCCGTTTCAGTGTGATAACATTAGCCTACACATTCCATCTATTGTGTTTTCTGCTTTAGACTATGATCCTTCAAAGGTATTCAATATTAATCATTGTTGAAAATAATTTCTGTTTCAACTACTTTTGTTATTTCAGCATGTGGATTTAAATGCCCTGAATTTATTACTAATTATGCAAGAAATCCACTTTGGGTCTTATCAGTGCTATCGAATGAGGCAATCGAGACATTCTTGGAAAATTACTGAGTTAGACCAGAGCGCAAAACCTCCACCACCCTGTCCACCTTGCAAATTAGCAATGCGCGTCCTACCTGAGAAATCTGTAGAAGTCAAAGTTGAGAAGAAAGAGTTGGTGACGATTAGTCAACCTCCCCCTTTACAGTTGAAAACGTTGACACCACATAATGTGATGCAACTAGTAAACCAACAAGGCATCTTGAAAAGTAAGTGAAGCATATCTCTCAAACCATTGTTTTCTATAATAAAAAATTTGATTTAGTGGAATGTTTTGTAAAAGCAATTCATGGTTATGTACAAATATGTTACAAATTCAGACTTCCATTCTCTAAAAAAAAGGTGTTGACAGATTTGAAATTTAGGTAAAAATAAAATATATACAATATGTACTGGACCAAATATATACAAAAATGAAAATAAAATAATCAAGATAAATAATGAAAAATGCAAAAATGTACAACGAAAACAAGAAAAGTCTTCATACCACGTTTCGATTGTTTGTATCCACAATCATATGTCAACAATCATTCACATAGAAAAACTTGATATACATCATCTATTTTCATGCCTAGAAAGTTCTCAACATTCTCTGAGATACGTAGTTGTGAAATATAAGTTTGGTGAAACAGAAATCCACAGTTGAAACATTGAATATTTCAAATAAAGTTTGAATACATTTTTAGCATATCATGCCTTTTATTTCATAGACGAGTTTTAAAATTTAGAAACTTATTCTCATTGTATATTATATTATATGTATAGTACAAGTTTATACTACCTGAAGTATTAACACTTTGTGACTAGTTTGATATATTCGTGTGATGTCAATATGCTTTATTACATCATATGAATTCTGAATTAATAAATCCTATTCAATTCACTATTATATACTTTATTGTACCAACATTGTGTGACCAGTCGATTGTATTATTCAATTATGTAGATTTGATAATCAGTAATCGGAAAAAATTCAGAATTCTTATCCGAGATTTATTGCGCCATCATATTTCCTATAAGTTCACAGATACAAATTGGTATAAGCATCATACCTCTAATTTTTATCTCAAGATTATTCTCTACAGAAAAAACAATGTGGAAGTGGCGTTCAGACCACATGCCAGGTTATCTCATTTCCTTTTCAATGCCAAAGATAAGGTGGTCAATTTGGAGAAATCTGGAGTTTATAAGCTTAAGTGTCCGGGGTGTAATAGTGTTTATGTGGGACAATGTGGTCGAAATTTCCAAAAACTGTATGCTGAACATAAAGGTCTTTCAGACTAGGAAAAAATGATTCAACGTTTTCAAACCATTCCTTGGCATGCAACCACAAGTTTCCGAATCTGAACAATACGGAGATTTTGCACTATGCAAGAAAGGGTTACAAACTCAATTATTTAGAATCCTTGGAAATTCACAAGCATTAACATTGCGGGTGCAACTTGTTAAATGATCAAATTGATTTAATTTACTCACCGGTTTTTAAATTGGCACATTCGCATTGTAAACTGTAAATTCAGTTACTCAATCAAGCCATGTACCTCTATTAGCACCTACAGGGGTGGTATATAAGGGCTAATGTAATGAACCACTGTTAGTTTATTGTATAAGTTTGAAAATGTCCTTATAGGACGAAACTGCAGTAGCGTTAGTTACAAATAAAAGTGGCAAAAACCATAGAAAGTTTCATTTCTCTTTTTTTCTTTTTTCGAATCTATGGAAACGAGACAAATCTGGAAATATCCAAGAATTATAGACCAATTTCAAAACTATCTGTTGAATTTTTAATGAAGTGTTTATTCAAATCTATGTTGAACTGTATGAAGAAAAATTGAAAATATTGAACACAATATTACGATAATTCGTCCATAACATAGAAACAACACAATTTGCTTGATAATTCCCAAACATTTTCAAAATCACACATAAATAATAATAATATTTATTGATTTTTTTAGGACATCCTAATATACATACATTATTTTAAAAATATATAAATAAATGACATAAATAACAAAAATGATGATATGATAGAAGAAAAAAAATAATAAAAACCATTTTTTCAATGGTTTCAGCATGAGGATATACATAATAAATATATTACCAAACAGAAAAAAGAAAATCAAGTATGATGTTTTATATAGTTCATGAGGTTTTTTTTGAATTGGAAAACATTTATTGATTCTTTCAACGAAAGTGGGAGTTTATTATACTCATTCAAACCTTTATAAAATAAAGACTACATCGTACTAGTCAAATTAGTTTGAGGAAGGTGGAATGTCATTATTCCATCCTCCAATATGTGACTGCTTCTTTTATCTTGTGTTAATTAACCTTATTTCTTAATATTTGTATTTAAACCATCCTAATATAACATTTCCGAATGGTGAATGCATTTATCAGTTATTTTTTTTTTATTTTTCACTCCTGTATATATATTATGAGTCTTTTTGTTGAATGAATATCTTCTATATGTCTACTAAGAAATAACTCGAGACGATCAGAAACTTCAATCAGAAATTCTTCATAATTACATTATCATATAATTAAGTAGAAATTTTCAACTGATGTTATGAATCAAATATTGATGAAGTGTTTACGCTAAGGAAGTGTGTTCAAGATAACGATAACACGTTTTGATTTATTCAGTATCTTTTATAAGATGAATACATTTATATTTTTATGATGATTCACAAGTCTGAAGAATTGAGATCCATTCAACTCACATTCTATATCTGAGGACTATCGAGGCATTTGTCTGATATTTGAAAAGTCTTTTTCATTTTGATTATTTTAATTAGAATTGCATTCAACGAAAAATCTTTTTCAGCTATTCCAGTTGTAAACATCTCACAAGGGACTACCGGTCAAATAGGAGCGCCTGTTAATGTCACATCACTTCTCAAACCTGCTGACAAAATATCTGCTGGTTTCGCTCAGTTGGTGCAAACTTCCACCGGAAAACATTTACTGTTGAGAACAAATCCGAACATAACCGCAAATATCCCAGTGACATCTGCAGGTAAACTCATTTGATTTGAATATTTTATCATTAGGGAAATAATTATAATGAAAAAAGTATTATATTTCACTCTTTGTAAACATTTTCTTATCAGATAAGAATTTTTATGTCCTTTTAAGTTCAATGAACCTTTTTCCAGAAGTACGAAAAATCACTCACTAGCAGCGCTAGTAGTTCGGTAGGGACAAACATGCCTAATCCTCATATGAACATATGGTAAAGTACAATTAAAAAAGAATGTTTTTAACAGAAGATATTTCTGGAGCAGAACTAAAATTTGCAACTGTAAAGGATAACAACAATGTTGTAACATTAAAACGTTGGCTTGCATGCCGTAATTTAAAAATAACTGGAATAAAAGTGAATTAATATATAAATGAAATAATAATAAATGAATAATTAATGAAATTAAAAATAATTATGAATTTCAGATTTATTACCCAGTGAAATATGAATCAAATACCTATAGATGGTAATGAAATAAATTTAATTAAATATAATAAATGATTAGGATTTAATAAACGATGGAGTTTATATCGCATTCTAATCAATGGTCATTAACTATTTCATGTTTAGAGCATACAAATGAATATTTATTTATTTTTTGCACTGTTAAATCCACTCTCCTCGAAGCATGTATCCATTTCTTATTACATCTAATCTCATTAATATGACGTTTTATGAATGGAATAAAAAAAAAGTTTTCTTCCAAATATCGATTATCCGACGTACAATTCGCGTAACGGCAATACTTTGTTGGCATTATACTAGCACAAAATAATTTTTTATATCACATTAATATTTTTAAATAATAAATTAATATTACGTAAATAACACTGTTTTACATGTGATTAGTTTGTTTGTCCCTACTACTAGTGCTGCCTCTCGTGACACGTTCGCTGTACTATTCTCAGGAAAAAGACTCATTAATGAATGCCAAATCAGTGGAATGAATAATGTAGGAGCCAAAATTGGTAGACGCGTAAGGGAAAGCAACATATTGAAACTATGTGAGGTACAGGTGGAGCTTTGTGGGGGAAGGCCCTTTTTTACAATTTTTGTAAATAACTTGAAAACTGTGGTATCTAACATAGTTTATACATATACTGAATTATTCTACATTTTCTAAAAAAAAAGTTTAAGGACTCCTGAATACTCAAGGATCAATATGGCCCTTCACAGCATGCAATCAAAATGAATATTTTTGAAGATATTTAGATATGCAAGAACACAGGCCGCGCTTCGCCCAAAGCACTTTATGATTAGCAGCGATCGCACGCATTTATATGTATATTTAGTATCAGCAATGCACCCGTGCGGAACCGGGGTGGGTCGCTAGTGAAGTATAAAAAAAAAGGAATTGAAAGTAATGCCCAAACCTGATGTTCGCATGGACAATTTCTACTGAAGCATGTATAATTATAATTATAATTTCAAAAGAGCCAACTATCCACAACTGTATAATCAAATATCTCATATTGACTGGACCTTCTTGGAAGTTCTTGATGATTCACAAGATGCATCCACATATTTCTATGGAAAACTTTATAATGTTTTTGATCGCTGCTGCCCCAAGTATACAGTTGAATCCAAAAATAAATATCCTCCTTGGTATAATAGAAGCATTATTAGAGATTTGCAGGCTAAAAGCAGAATCTGGCGCAAATACAAGCGTGAGTGTAATCTGCAGGCCTTTGAAGATTCCAAACATCTTTTAGCAAAAATAAAGCATGATGTTGATGTGGCATATAAAAAATTCTTTGGTGAAACTGAGGAAGAAATACATATCAATCCCAACAGATTTTGGTCATTTATAAATAATAAACGAGGTAGCTCCAAAATATCACAAATACTGAATTTTGAAGGTCAATTGCTGGAGGGGCCCTCTAATATCGTAAACGGTTTTGCCAATCTTTTCAAACAATCTTATACCGCTTCTTCCCCTTTTCAACCAAACTCTAATATTGAAAATAATCACTTTCTTGATATATCAAGCTTCAGTGAAAACGAAGTATACGAGGCACTAAGGTCGCTCAAGTCTAAAAAGACCACTGGTCCAGATGACATTCCATCTTTCATCCTAAAAGATTGTGCACTTGTGCTTGCTCATCCTCTATCTATACTAATTAATATCTGCTTAAGATCGGCTACAATACCAAGGATCTGGAAATCATCAAAAGTCTGTCCCATTTTCAAAAAAGGAGATAGACGAGATATTTCAAATTATCGGCCTATCTCTATTATTTGCAACTTTGCAAAGGTTTTTGAGATTCTGCTGTAGCGAGTTATATATCGGCATGTTAGTTGCAATATAAGTATAAACCAACACGGTTTTATGAAAAATCGTTCAACGGTTACCAATCTTCTGACTGTAACCTAACATATTGCTGAATCTATTGACAATAGGGCCCAAACTGATGTTATTTACACAGACTTTTCTAAGGCCTTCGACAGGCTTGACCAAGGCATTCTACTGAACAAACTAGTAGCCTTTGGATTATCTTCATCCTTAATCGCACTCTTTCAGTCCTATCTACGGGATCGAAAACAATATGTTCAGCTCAATGGTTTCAAATATACCCAATATAGTGCTTCTTCCGGTGTTCCACAAGGTTCAAATCTGGGACCGTTGCTCTCCAATATATTCATTAATAATATTGCAGATGTTATAGATGTGTATTTCCTTTTATATGCCGATGATCTAAAACTATACTGCCTCGTTGAGAACATAGATGATTGTGTGAACCTCTCAGCAACGTAGGACGGGTAGTAGAATGGTGTTATTGAAATAACTTGTCACTGAACCCGGATAAATGTAAGGTTTGAAAACGAATATCTTGATCTTTGATTATTCAATAGAAAATGTTTCCCTGGTGAGACCAGAAACATTTACTGATCTTGGCGTCACATTTGACACTGCACTATCATGTAATAGGCATATCGATAATGTTGTAACCACCTCCTGTCGTTTGTACGGATTAATTGCACGTAACAGTAGTGATTTCAAAGAAACTTCAACCTTAAAAACTTTATTCTATGCTTCCATAAGATCAAAGTTAGAATACGCGTCAGTTGTGTGGAGCCCCTTTTATCAATATCACATTGATAGAATAGAAGCAACTCAACGACGATTTTTAAAACTGCTAAGCCTAAAAACCGATGGCATTTATCCTCCAATAGGAACAACTCACTCTGAATTGCTACAAAAGCGTAACTTTAACTTTTGCAGACTCGAAAAAAGGCGTTAATATTATAGTGTTGCACTAACCTATAAAATTATCAAAAGCATAGTTGACTGCCCAACATTACTGGAAAAGTTCAATATTTGAATTCCTAGAAACTATTCCAGACACCTGAGTACTTTCTATATAAAAACATCTCGCACAAATGTTCTGGAGAATTCTCCGATCCATACCATGTGTAAAGTGACAAATTCTATTAGCGATAATTTAGATATATTTAGTTGCAAATTGTCAAATATAAAATCCCACTTCCTAAAATAACTGTTTTGTCACCTATAATAAATATAAAATCTGTAGTGTTTATAGTCACTTGTTTGTAATGTATTTATTATACTCTGTTATTTCCTGCTCTGTTATTGGGCTATGTCCTGTAGAGTATTGTTATTACAAATAAATAATAAAGCAAATGATAAATGTGTGATTCGACTTCAACTAATATTTCTTTGAAGAGATTAATTCATCTGTTACATTTAATTTCACTGGAAAGTTGATTATATTCCAAGACCCCTCCGTGGAATAAAAAATTAATTTTACTTGCATAATGTGTTCGACTTGCATATAATTTCATTTTTCCTCGTGTGGGATATTTATTATAAAAATCATAGAAAAATGGAACAACTTATTTTTCATGAATAGCCAATCATTACCCTTATGGAGGTATATCTGTTCCATTTTAGCAGTACATTTATGCCTCTATTCTACAATTTTTGAAGTGCACTTAAACAAATAGCATTGAAGTGACTAAGCTTTCAAATCATTAATTATCCTAAATCCAAGTCTTATATTTGTTTTCTACCAATTCAATTGTTTTACCATATATTTCAATTATTATCAGAACTTTATCAATTGCATTGTACTTATATTGAATGGTTATAATCAATGATGTGGTTCTATTGATGTTTACATTGTCTCCAATTTCTTACTGTTGCAAAGTATAGTGTTATTGGATTTCGCTTCCATTATTGTTGCATTCACTTGTTTGACTGTGAATTTATTAGTATCAGCATTCGTTCCTTCGCCTGAATTCAACAAAGTTGTCTGCTCTAGCGAAGTATTAGGACATTATCGCCCTTTTGGCAAACTATCAGACATTGCTGCTTCATTTTTGCTAATTGAGTAGTATTGGCTATTATTTTCAATTTTATTCACCTTTGGTGCTGGTATATAGTCCATTTTTTAAAAGCTCATTAGGAGAAAAGTTTTTTCTTGCAATGCTTGCACTTTTTCCGTAAATTCTTGTATAACAGTTTTAATGAGCTATTATAGTATTTGATCTCCTATTGATGATTTTGTGAAATCATCATATTATATTTTTACAGCGTTTTCATTATTGTTGGGGTTAGAAGTCACTTCATTCTTTACCCCACAGCAGATCATTCCACCATCAGACATTCCATTTTTCAGTCTATTGGCACAACTATTATGTGCTGTTTTCGCACATTTAAGAGATCACACTCCATTTACTACATTTGAAAAACAATATTTGGAATTCAACTCGACTCGCGTATCGCCAACCAAGTTCAGGAGATGAAAGAAATTGAAGACGCCAACTTGATTGGGGGAGCGCGCGGATGTTTGAGAATATCATAAGATTTAATAATTTTTTGGTGTTTTCAGATTCGTGAGATGTTTGTAGCTAAATCTTCAAATAAGTGGTCGTCGGGTGAGAAATATATTTATGTGCCAGTGAGGGTCTGTACATGCATATCATGAACATGTTTATTTTTTGTCAATGAACCATTGAAAACTCTGTTGACGATAAAATCGATGAATTTCAGGAACTAAATGAATACAATATTCACCAGGAGATTGATATTAAAACAAAATTCAAATCTACTTTCGGTTTAACTGGGGTGTTCCATATTTCAAACTATTTTGGCTAAATTACCTTCAGCATCTGAGTGAAAATAATGAGTCATATAATTCATCAAGTTCAATGTACCCGTAATTCTGAATATTAATTATTATGCTTTAGATCCCTCTGACCTATCTCATATACCAGTTATCACATTTCTAGAATTCTTTCTCAAACATGGAATATCTTGTCGAAACAAATCTTATTTATAAATTTGATCATTTCTTCACCCTGCACAGTCGATCAGTTACCATTTCTGTAAGTGTGTAACTTTTGCAACTGTGCTAGATAAACGCAATGGCCAGCATGTTTTTGAATTTCACTGTTGAAAACTATCTAGAACCTTGCAACACATACATACTAATTATCTTATTATATACTTATTGATATGAACTATCAAAATTAATGTAATGAATTATTTTATTACAGGCGGACAGAAATTGACGTTTTTATCTCAACCTGTATCTACTATAGGAAATGCGGGACATGCAGTTACGCAAGCTTTTGTCAAATTCCAGTTGACGTCAGTAACAACTGTTGCTAATACTTCATCTGTGACTACGACAGTATGTATGATTCTCATTATGATTTACATATTACATACACTACAGAAATTCTATATACATTTTGTTGGTGATAATAAATATAGTTTAATTGAGACAACTTATGCATTTTTATGAATTCAAAACTACTTAGTTGTTAAGATTACCCCTCCCGAATGATCCCAAAAAGATATTTTCTCTATTTTGGATCAATTATAGGTATGGATTTTTTCGAGAAAAACAGTGCAAAATTTGGAATATTTCAGAAAGTTCTGTTTCTCATTCAGTAGGCATTATCCCATAAGATTTGTTGAAAGCAAAACATCAATATTATTGATAGTTGTCTAATTGAATTTTCTTCAACCCTTTCCGGTTGACTCCTTCAGATGTTCTGGCCCTACCGAACGTGTAACAGACTAACTTAATCAAACAGTTGCTCAAATAAATGATAGTCAGGAACACTTGAAAACAGCAATACAAGCCATTGCTGAGCAAACATTCCTCACTTTGAGGAATCGGGCGTTTTCAAAAGAAGAAAATTATTTGAGAAAAATGAAAAATGCTTCAAATTAGTGAAAATCATTCAATAACAAAAGAGGCTCCTTGCTTGTCCTCGATCATCGTAAAGAATTAATTGAGGATATGTGTTTCAACTTTTTTTCTGAATCATATGGCTTTTCTAATATTGCATTAATACAATATCAACATCGTTTCTTGAATATTTACAAGTGACAAAACGAAATTTCTTAATAAATAATAAGCTGAAACAATTTAAAATTTAAATGTGTAAAATATTTTGGCACATATTAAAAGCATATATCAATATAGCACGAATAGTGAATAGATTATTGTCTTCTACAATACACATTGAACACCAATTTTGTTTCTTTAGTTTTGACTACAAAAATATTTTCATAAAGTTTCGAAAGATGAAAAAGTTTATTACCAGCATTCTATCTTGTCTTGTGAGAAAATGGTTGTAATTTTTATATATGATTTTTTTTCTCAAATCGGAGATCCACATTAATTTCATCTCGACACTTCATTCCTAAGTAATATTGCTGATGTAATTGTGTGTCGGAGCTATTTTCCGGACTTGTCAAATGTAGTATGGTTTTTATGTCTGACGTTTCATGTACAATTGCGGTTGATAACGAGTTTCAGTGGTCCAGTTGTTCTTACAGAGCATACACTTTTTAGTATGCAAAACAATATGTCTTGAATCGAATAGAGCCCATGTTAAGATTATTCCAACTATTCTACCAATCGTCCATTTATGTTATTTTCTCTCTTTAGAATATTTCAATTATCAGTATTAAAATGAACAGTAAGTACATAAATAAAACAATATGCGTCTCATATGTGTATGATTATTTACTTGGAAAGACCATTTTTTATTCCATAATATGTATTTCTACCATAATAATAATATATAATGAAGAAGGTATGTGCAAAAATGATTTTGTTGAAGTGAAATTTCAATTTAAAATATCTGCATAGTGATATCCACTTAACCTATCACATTATAAATTGAAGAATGATGAGATTGACAATCAGTAAAAGTGATCCAAAAATTATTTGAAAATCTGAAACACTAAAAGAAAATCTAGAGTTCAGGATTTTTCCTGGCTAATTGGTGCTTCTGGTTTATTGAAATTCATCACATGAAAGTATTGGGATATTTTTCATGTAATTTTGTGATGTTTCAACATCGAATAACTCTTAATATTGACCTAAAGATACAATCCCTAGATTTGGTGGTTCTAAGGATTTTTTTTGTTTTATTGCATAAAACCATTACTTGATATATTTGTTCAGGAGAACGAACAAATGAACACAATAAATTTATTCAAGACACGTTTTGCTATATGGTAGCTTCATCATTTAGATTGGTACATTTTATATAACAGTAGGTTAAAACAAAACTTATTAGATAAGTAATTAAATCTGGTAAAATAGGCATATTTTGACAAAAACAGTCACAATAGGGTATTACTCATAGAAAAACAGGTAAAATATTGGCATTTTATGTCAAAATTTAATTAGATAAATTACTATTTCTGGCAAAACAGGTAGATTTAGAAATAACAATTGATACAATATTACTCCTGAGAAAACAGTTGATTTCCAGAGATTCAATAAACACAAATATTCAAATTTTCTTTCAAATGACGAACCAGAAGTTATTTATTAACTATTATTATACTTGTTTCATAAAATCTCGATAATTACCATATTCACAAAACGAAGTAGAAGTAATATTGTACTAATTGTTCTTTGAAATCCACCTGTTTTGCCAGAATTAAATCAAGTTTTGACATAAAATGCCTGCTGCTTTATCTGATTGCTTTTCCAGATAATATGAAATGTTATCTAAAATTCATTATAGAATAGATTGATATACTAGTCTGAATGATGAAGCTACTGTGTGGCGAAAGGCGTCTTGAATAAATTTATTGTGAAAAATCTATAATTATCATGTTATTAATTTCCATCAGGTAACGGTACAGAGTATTCTTAATAAAAAGCCGTTAATTTTGAAACTCCAGTTAAAATTTTATTGAAATACTACTTTGTGATTGCTGAAATGTGGTGATGGTGTGATTCTATTTTATAATATCTAACTTATTCAGTTCTTTTCAGAACTCTATTTCTGTAGTGAAAAGCGAAGAAAACAAAACTAAGAGTGGACGAACACAAGTAGGAAATGATTATATAGGTAGACTTTATTCCAAGCAAAATAGTTTGGATGTTCGGTGGGCTAGTGAAGAAAAAGTAGTTGGACTATCAGTTAGTATATAACCGAATACTATTATTTTTTTTTACTAACACATGTATATATAACAGGATGAAGAAGACCTGAAAGGCGAACGTAGAAGGAGGTTGTGCTTGATGAATAGCATCAATGAAAGTAGATGTTCTGCTCTTCCATTGTATGGGAGAGATTTTCAGGAAGCAGTTAAAATATTTTCTCCCAACAAAATTAATTGTTGGCATGGAGGAACAGTTCACTGTCTGAATGCATTATACGATACAAAAGTGGAGGAAACTCCCAATTACCTCAGGGCTCTTTTGTGCAATCCTGAAGAAAGAATTGAACAACTCCAAGATATTTGTGATAGGTAAGAAATTCACTACTCTGAAAAGCTTCATTATTTCAATGCTTTTTTTGCAGATTTATATTTTATGTTCCTGCTGTGAAGTGTCAGGAGCCTGAACTTAGAGTGTGGCATCCACCTCCTAGTAAATATTGGAAAATGAAAGAGGATAAGCTTCTGATTCAGAAACTGTTCTCGAAACCAGCAACTCCCTTACATCACATAGCTTCAGCAATGGTTACGCAGTTTCCTGACCCAAGATTAATTCAATATGACTGTGGAAAATTGCAAACGTTAGACAGGCTCCTCAGGAAATTGAAAGTCGAGGGTCATAGGGCATTGATTTTCACTCAAATGACAAAAATGCTGGACGTCCTTGAAGCCTTCCTCAATTTTCACGGTCACATTTATCTCCGGCTGGATGGAACAACTAAAGTTGATCAACGTCAGGTAAAAAATATAACAATATTTGTTGAACTTCAATGTGCACAGTCGATCAGTTTTCATTTCTATGAGTGTTGAACTTTTGCAACTGTGCTAGATAAACGCAATGGCCAGCATGTTTTCAAATTTTGCTGTTGGAAACTATCTAGAACCTTGCGACACACTTTCCAAGAGAGAGTATTGAGAAATTCGTCCAATGAATTATGCAATATCTCTCCAATAAAAAAAAAAAAAAATTGACGGCATTTCATGTCATTACCTTCAGTATAATTTTGGCTACTAAAAAATTTAAAGTAGAGCAATGTTTTGTTGCATCAAAAACCTGCTGTTTGATTTCCCACCACCCTATCACGCCCAATAATATTAAAACAAGTTAACAAGGGTGTTTTTTTATTTATGATGTCCCAAAGCCTGTCCACAGTCTGATGAAGCAACGTAATTCACTGAGAAAAATACATTGTCTTACTTCCTATAGAGTTGCTCTCATTAATATAAAAGGTGTGTTTCTCTGGCGATAGTTTTTTCACAAATTAAGTAACTTCTAAAGTCTTGCTTGAGTATCTCATTATAGTGTATGAACACCTAATTAGAGCAGATAATAACTAACCAAGAAATTGCAGTAAAACAACCAAATCTGAAGTAATAATTTATGAAAAAGGGAATTTGCGCTAGCTGTTTTGTCGCTTTTCAGTGATTAATATTTATGGCCGCTACAGCAATAGTTTCTTCAGTTACAACATTTAACTATGTCATCAATAGAGGAGGGACTAGGGGATCAAGAAATCCATACATATATTACTTTTTTTAATAAATTGATGGATGTAGCCGTTACTACGTTGTAGGAGACCATAATGCAAAGAGGAATGAAAATTTCTATGTTTTTTAACACTTTTATTTGTAACTTACGTTACTGCATATAGTACGAAACTGCAGCAACGTTAGTTACAAATAAAAGTGGTAAAAAACATAGAAATTTTCATTTCTCTTTTCATTACTTTTTTTTAAAAGTATAATGATTTGAAATATTATTAAATTAGACAGAATTTGTAATTCAAAATTATCTCACCAACATACAAGACAATGAAACTTTCGATTCAAAAAACGAAATGGAAACATCTGGTTTTACTTTATATTAGGTGCAATAATGTTACTTTCTTAAAAACAGATTTAAGCATTTTCTACCACAAAATGGGTTACCTGAATGAAAAGAGGTTAATTTCTTATGAGAAGTTGGGAAGATCTTGAAACCTCATAATGCTCAAATTCTTAAAAGTTTTACTCTACTCAAAATGTGGAATTTGGAACCTTATTTTTACTTTTTTTTTTTTTATAAAGAGACGATTGAGAACTTTGATTTGGCATAATGTGGCTAAACACCTTTACATCATAACAATGGTCCTCATTTGTGAAATATATATAAAATGGTTCCTAATTATATACCTCATTTATTAATTATAATCATGTTTCCACTTATCCCACAAAAAATGTGAATAATTTCCATAAAGTTCAAATGCCTAATACAAACTTATTGCATTGAAGGGGTTTTATGTATGTCTGATACATAATTATTTTATTGTTAACTGTAAAGAATATGATGTATATGATATATTGCGGGTGTATTGTTTACTTGTAAAAAGTATGACTTTTGCCGTATGTACAATTTGTACCCAGCTGGTCAATAAAGAATTCGAATTTAAATTTAGTCTTCGTTTTATACTTACAGAAGAAAATGCTTCTACATAAAAATATATTTTAACACTTACTGTGTTGATGGCGCATGTGCAATATTTTACCTTCCCAACATTATATAACATTGTAATATTCAACATTTTACAAAATACAATTTTCAATTTCAGGTTTTGATGGAACGCTTCAATGGTGACACACGAATTTTCGCTTTCATTTTGTCCACACGTTCTGGTGGTGTAGGTGTTAACCTAACCGGAGCCGATACTGTGATATTTTATGATTCTGATTGGAATCCAACCATGGACGCTCAAGCACAAGATCGTTGTCACCGAATTGGACAAACAAGAGATGTACACATCTATCGATTGGTGAGCGAGAGAACTATAGAAGAAAACATTTTGAAGAAGGCAAACCAAAAGAGACTACTCGGAGATTTAGCTATCGAAGGTGGCAATTTTACAACAGCATATTTCAAGAGTGTAAGTTGTAGTAAAATATGAAGAATAATAATATGATATAATATATCACAGGGTTTGCTTTACATGAAAAAGAATATGAAAAGATTAACTGAAATTCACGTTAATTACCATATGATACTGGTTATTAGTTTCTTTGAACAAAAGTTCATTCCTTATATTTGTAGTCTTTAATATACCCAACTTTTAGTTTCATTCTACCCTTTATATTTCCAGTGAGACTTGAAGGTTTTTTGGAAATTATTTCAAAGCTGTCATATTCAATTCATATTCAGATTTCATTTTCACATATTCAGATTTTTACTAGTGTACATATTATTTGGAAATTTTGAAAAAAGTTTGAACCAACTAATTTTGTTTTCATAGTTCAACTTTTTAAATTGTCAAACAATTACATACAGGTATTTAAAAATAGCAAAAAATTTGTCAGGGAATCATGTAAATGTACGAGAATTTAATTTTCACATATTCAGATTTTTACTAGTGTACATATTATTTGGAAATTTTGAAAAAAGTTTGAACCAACTAATTTTGTTTTCATAGTTCAACTTTTTAAATTATCAAACAATTACATATAGGTATTTAAAAATAGCAACAAATTTGTCAGGGAATCATGTAAATGTACGAGAATTTAATTCACTGGAAGTGCTAGGTACCCTGTTAAGTAATAATGAAAATAATTTGTTTCAGTCGACTATTCAAGATCTGTTTAATGTTGATCAAAATGAAGAGAGTGCTGCTAATAGAATGTCGGAAGTGATTGAAATCAAGAGAGATAGAGAGAAGGCATTGTCGGGTGAAACGTCCACTTCAGGTGATGATAAAGTGGCAATGGGGGCTCTTGAGAATGCATTAGCTGCCTGTGAGGATGATCAAGATGTCCAGGCAGCCAAAACTGCCAAAGCCGAGGCTGTTGCAGATTTGGCTGAGTTTGACGAAAATATACCGCTTGAGGAGCAAGAAAAAGAGAAAGAAAAAGAACCTGAGATTAGCAAAGCTGAACAGGAAATAAATAGTGTAATTGAAAAGGTAATTGTACTACAAAAAATACATTGTGTTGAAGATGTAATGTGTTTTTATAGCTTTCAGCCATTGAGAGGTATGCCATGAAATTTATTGAAACTACTGAATCTGCTTGGTCTGCCGAGCAGCTGGCAGCAGCTGAGAGAGAGATTGAAGAGCAGAAACGAGAATGGGAACAGAATCGGTTGGCAGCAATGAGAGAGGAAGAGGAACGTCGAGCTCGTGAATTAGAAGAGGATGGAGATATTATCACCTTCTCTAGAGAGGATGCTACTAATCAGGTTAGCTCTAAAAGTAAAGTGTTCAATAGACGTAGGAAATTTTTGAAAGTGAATAAAAAAAGAAAGGCCAACAAAATAGTGAGACGGTCGAGGTCTACCAGTGAGAGTAAAGGAAAAGTTAAGAAGAGGAAGGTTAGAATTCTAATGAAGGATAATATTGATTCAAACGAATCAACAAACCAGTCTGATTTCGATAACTCTCAAAGGTGTGAAGATTTGGAAGAATCCCAACTTAATGGAGATACAGATAACAGCATGCACAGTATAGAAACTGAAGAATTCAACTCTACAAACTTCAAAAATATATCTAATCATGTGGATCACAACTCTCCCAGAACACGTTCAAGAGGAACTGTAGCTATCAACTTGTGGACCTTAGATGTAAGTCCAATTTTACCAGGTGAAAAACCAGCAAGGAAACATAAAAAAAGCAGTAGTATTGATAGTGATATTGACGATTCAATTGATGAGAAAAGTAAAAGTGAGTTTAGAGCTGTATCTGAAAGTGAAGATCCATCAGATAGCGATGCCAATATACGACCAAAGAAAAGAAGGAAATATGTCAAGAAAAAGAAATCTGCTAGTAGTAATGAAGAGTCTGATATTGAAATAAGAAGAAAGGGAAAAGATTTATCAGCAATCAGTACTGAAGAGCAGTTGAGCATATTTGGCAAGGGTAGAATTTGTAAAGTGGTGTTGAATGATATCGTAGCTGAAGGACAGTATAGGATTCCCAAAGATTTCAGAGAAGAAATGGAAATATCAGTAGAGCTTGAAACTGAAGATCTCACAGTCAAAACGATTCACAGTGAAAAAAGAGTTTTACTACATGAAGAACATGAAATTTTTGAGAAAAATCATGAAATTCTGCCTCCTGAATCTGTTAATTTCAACATCATACATGTTGATTCTTCAGTTGAAATATTTAGTGCTGAAAACAATATAGAACAAGGCTTGAAGGAGGATGAAACAAGAGATAATATATCGATTATTGTTGATCACAAGGAGAATGAAATACAAATATTGAACCATGAAAATGATCACCAGCACAGTACTGAGAAAGAAGAAAAAGATGAATCGCAACCTTCTGATTCTGAAAATAACTTCTTGACTGAAAATAAAATATCAATTCCAGAGAATAGCAGTTCTTCAAATAATTCTGCAGAGGAAATGAAAGAGAGTGAAACAGGAAGTTGTGAATCCAATTATACTAAAATTGAGGAAAAGAAAAGCAATTCAGGGAATGAAGTGGCTCATACTGATAAATCTCAGATTGATTCTGAACAGAAAGTGACAGATATTGAAACAGCACCATTACCTAACGAGTCAAAATGTACCGACATTATTGATGCTAATATTTTGGAGATATCCACTGATGAGTTTGGGGGTCTGGATGGAAAAAAATCACAAACTGATGATTTTGAAGATTCCAAAGTAGATAATGATGTTAAAGACGACTTAGATTTAGGAAATGAACCCAGTGTGTTTCCAGGTTGTGAAACAAGTAAAAATGATTCTGTGAATGTGATAGATAGTGATTCAAAATTGAAGAATGATGGAGAAACATCCTCCAACAATCTGCCAGATGTTTCTAACAGTACTCTTGGCTTGAGTTCAATTGATTCATGTGAGGTAGCCAAAGAAACTCCTAAAGAAAATATAGAAATAAATACAACTATACAAATCGAAAACAAATCTAGTCAATTGGATAATGGTCTTGAAAACAAAAAAAATTCTTTGGTAAATAACAGAAATGATAATTTTAGGTTTCGAGAGTCTAGAAAAAGCTATAGAAAATTCCGACACAAATATTCCAACAATAGAACTTTGGATGGTTGGGTAAAACGTTCTCCAGTGTCTCCAAGAACTAATATGAATGATGGAAGTACACACAATAATAGAGAGGAGTTGAGTTTCACCAGTTCAGAATCTTTCGAAAATCCACATTAAACCTTATATCACCTTCCAATATTTGCAATTAAGTGAATGAGTTCATAAACTTTGATGAACTTTATTTAATTGGCAGTGTTAGATGTTAATCTTGGACTTGAAAAAAATTTATTTCTGATATGTGAATATGTGATCTATTAGTTAGTTGTTATCTTGTACAGACTCTTAGGGTTAATTTTTTTACAAACATCTTTTAATGCGCATATTTGTAAATTATAGTGTGAATGTGTACGTTTGTTGCCTTCCAGATTTTTAAATTTCTGCCAAATTTAGTTTAAAATCTGTTGAATACCAATTCATTCATTTTTGAAATCCAATTTTAATTTTATTCCACTTTTGGTATATCTCTGATTAAATGCTTGTGGATGGGTCTGTTAAAACTGTAGAACAGTTTTTCAAAATTGGTTCAAAGTAGTGAAAATATTGATCTCTAGAAGATATGATTTTTCGGCTTTTTACTTTTCTTTAATACGTTTAAAAAGGTGACAAACAATTTTTGTGAATAAGCTCTTGAACAAAGAAATATCAAATATACATTTTGAATTTTAGCTACCCTTTTTCTAATGGAATAATACTCTAGTATGACTTTCATATAAAAAAATACTGTTTTTTAAATCTCATTCCATGATTGAATAAAAACAATGTTCCCCTCAAAAAAAGTTTCAATTTCATTTTAAACACTTCCAGAGTTGAACTTAATTTTAAATTATTCAGTAGAATATTAAAACTTATGTTTAAAACCTATTCCAAACAGATCTTTTTTTTTTCGATAAGCTTTTCAAAAAATCGTAGCAATAAAAAGCCGAAAAGTCTTTTCTAAACATCAATTCTTAATGAAAATATAAATATGTCCCATATATTAAAATATGTTCTTTGATATCATACATTCAATTTTCGTTGGTAGTTTACATGTTAGATATCACTACATAATTTGAGAAATTCTTCAAAAGTATTCATTGATTGGGTGTTGCTGTAAAAATTTTCAATGGTAAGAACTTTAACAAATTATGGCAATGGTATAGTTAGAAATCTTGAGATTTTCCAAAAGCGGAAAGTTGAAGAATTAAATTCGGATTAAAAAAAAAAGTTAAGCCCAGTTAGATTTGGTTTTTGTGTTACTTGGCTGATTTTTTTTTGACATTTTCAACAATCAAGATTTTTTTTATTCTTGATTAAGTTCAAACCAAGACATGAGAAATAATATTTGGGTGTTGGGTGTTCCTAAGTGAATCCGTTGCTGCAAGTATGTATGGAAAATATGATATAAAAGCGCTCCTTATTTTTTTATTGTTTTGTTTTCTATATTTCTGAGCTGGTTTCCTGAAATTTTCATTGGCTATTAACTAACATTACTTTCATGTCGAACTCCTAGTTCGAACCATATTAAGTGACCTGAATATTGTCATAGGAATTTTTAAATATATCAGTATTTTGATATTCCAGATAATTGTTTATGAAGCACGTCTAAATTTTTACTGGATCATTTAGGGACACAATTCACAATAATTTTCAGTTTTTCTTGTACTCTTTTAATATGGATGGTATGAAAAAGATTTTATGGTTCTGTCATTACATCAGAAATGTACATAGTTATATATATATATGAAGAAAAAATAAATAAAGAAGTTCTCTTGCAAATGTTGTTTGTTTTGCGGGGTGGGCGTAGGTTTTGGTGCCTTTTTTGCTCTATCGTCCTTAGCGGGCACCAAAACACTGCCCCGCTGGACATGAGCAAGGGGGCTTCTTTCAAACCTACGAACCACCCCAAAGTTATCTTTCTGTTTTATATCATGGGCTTGCAAATGAGTGACACTCAATGAAACAACTTGAAAGAGTTTTATTTCACTTTCTAAATGAAACAATGTTTTACAAATTGGCACTATATTTTTCCTGAATTAAAATCGCTAGCGTTTTATTTTGATTATTTTTATTTTATTTTTTTACTCCTACTTTAAATAAACCTGGTCTGAAAAATACTGATCTATCTGCGGATATGTTTCAATTTGCTCAATCTAGAAGATTGAAAAGTTGATTTTAGATTCGTGATATGTACACTTGGGTGGGTCAGAGATATCCAAAATTTTTTTTCACTCCCTGGTGTAAAAGGATGGAATATGTTGAAAAGTTTATGAAATACTATTCATCTAAAAATATCATTCTATTCTGAACAAAGTGAACATTGTTTCAGTTATAGTTTTGTGTGAATAAAACTGATAGGTAAAATTTAGAGATGGACTCTCAGGAGTAGAACAAGTCCAACAAAAATAATTCACTCCCAATAACAGACTTTTGACGCGTGTTTTGCCATCAAGTTGGCTTCATCAGGAAATGAACTATACCAACATGATTGGAGAGACACATGTCGAGAAGAGTGTTATAGTTCTTGTTTGTATTAGAATAAAAAATAGTGTCATTCAGAGGTGTTTTTCCTGCATGGAAATAAAATAAACTCAAAGGAGGTAACTATGGGGAGGTTTTAGGTACTTTTAAAAATTTTGTTTACATGAAATTTGATCATTACAGATTTGGGTATCGGATAATACAATGGAGAAAATGCCTGTAAGTACTAATTTTTTTCAATATAATCTTCATTGATCGATTTGAAAACATCCCATCCTTGAGATCTCAACACAATGAATAATGTAATTCAACTTTATTTAATTATAGCATATCAGTTTTTGAGCCAATATTATTGTTTGGTACTTATTATCTAGGTTGATATTAGTACTCAGACATGAATATGACTAATTGGATACCTATGAATATTTTTACATATTGTGTAGCATGGGTGTACATTTAGGTATGGAAAGTTTTCGAATTGCCACTTTATTTTACAGTGCATTTCTTTAATGTCCCCCTCCTTTTATTTTTTGAACATATTGGAAGCCATTTTGTAGTACCTCTATTTATTACTCAAAATTCAACAGGGGAACTGTATTTGAATATGCTATATTTGAATATACTTGACTCATCTAAAATCGTCGAAGCGAATGCTAATGAATTGGATATGGATATTGTATTCCAACAAGATGGAGCACCATCACATTACTCCGGACAAGAAAGAAACTATTTGGATACTACTTTTCCCGTTCGTTGGATTGGCCGTCGAGGTCCTACAGAATGGCCAGCCCCCTCGCCAGGTTTAACACTGTTGGACTTTTTTTATGGGGCTATTTGAAGCAGAAGGTGTACGAAACTGAACCTGCTTCAATATTGGATGTACGGCAGAGAATAATCAATATTTGTAGAAAAATTGACGTTGCTGTGTTCGAAAATGTACGGCGTGAAATATCGGATAGGCTATTCATATGTCAAGAAGTTCAAGGCAACCATTTCGAGCATCTTCTGAACTCACCTCAAGCTCTCCACCTCATATTATGTAGTTAAATGTCAATGTATTCAGGCAATTATTAAAAGCTCCGCCATCTTCTAGTAGTTGAAGAGGAATCACACGTTAAAAGGTAAGACCTCGTTAGTCCTTAGCTCGCACAAGTTTCTCAACTTCTGAGAGTTGTCGTTCATATGGGGGCGACAGCTGATTAACGGAAAAACATATTTTTTTTAATGTGTCACAAGACCCCCCTTTCCATTTAATTTTTTTCCCAGATGGCGCCCAGTCGCCATCTTGAAAGTTTCATCTGTCAATTTCACTTCAAAATAAAGTATTCATGCATTAATTTCATTACCCTAAAGTTCAATTTTTTGAGTTGACCCGTTCAAAAAATAAAAGGGGGGCTGAGACATTGAAGAAATGCACTGTAAAATTGAAACCAGAAATATTTTTGTCAGAATCTAAGTGTTTGTATTATGAAAAACATTTTAATATTGTTGATCTGTACTATTGTAGTGGAAACCAACTGTTGAGTACAAATTTGTTTCATTTAGATGTGGTGCCCCCCTACTCCACCCCAACAAGAAAATGACATTTATGTTGATCATACTATGACTTTCTTGTATGATGCAAATGTAATGATGGAATCACAGTTACCTCCAATATACGTGAAAAGGGAGGCCAAGAGAAACAGATTAGATACCGGACTTGTAGAAAGTAGACGTGCTCTGAAATTGCCAAGAAAAGAAGAGTCTACACACGCTCCCAAATCGTTGTTCCATTCGGCAACTATTTTGAAAATGCGGCGAGATTTGAAACTCCAAAAATATCGAGGAATTGTACGTTCATCAATTCCATTGCCGGGAAAATCAAGTTCTCAGAAACCGACAGTCGAGCAACCACTTTTTCATGATTGGACAATACACGAGGATATGGCTATTTTGAAAGTAATCCAGGGATTCCAAGGCCTTCCTTTGAATTTGCTTGTTTCCAATCCGGGCCATACAGCGAATTGGGATTTCGTATCTGATTATGTAAATACTGTTTCAATAACATACAGGTCTCCGAAACAGTGTAGACAGAGATATGAAACTTATCTTATGCAGAGGGAAGAAGGGAAGCAAGGTGGTCTGGACAGTTTTCTAAGAAAAAAGAAGAATAAAGCTAATGCCTTACAGAAATATCCTATGACAACCAAATCTAACCGTTCAATGCGTACATCTCAACTATATACCCAAGATAACAATTCCGCCTTTTCTCAGATAATGTGTGATCGATTTGAAGCTCTTAAAAACATTTCCAATAAAAGAATGTCAACTATCAGAACAGTCTTGAACAATCCACTCATGAACAAAACTAAAGCTCCGGTGTTGAATGAGTGTGGCATAGATTTAGAACATCCAGTTTTACCGGTAGAAGTAGCAGCACGTAGAGCCGAAAGAATAGCAAAGGAAAAGAAAACTATGACTCCTGAGCAACATCATGCTGCTCGATTACAACTTATGAAAGGTATCATCGGAACACAGCAACAAAATGCCTCTGCATCCTCTACAAGCCTAGTATCTTCTAATCCAGCTGTGGCATCATCATCGTCGTCTCAAATTATTGTATCCCAAACGTCTACAGCAACAAGTGCCAACGCGTTATCGAATGCTCCGGCAACTCCACCTAGTGAGTATAACAATTCTCAATGTAGAATAGTACAGAAAAACTGTATTAGTAATTTTATAAACTAACCTATAAAATTCATGTTGACTGAATGAATGAAAAACAATATGCCAATTTCGAAATAATGGAATGTCCCATTACCAAAAAATAATCCAACAACATAATCAAATTCTCAACTTTCTCAGTCATGAAGGAAAAAGACAATTGATCAAAGTTGGGAAAGTTTTTTAGATAAAAATAAAAAATGATTTAGAGTGATAAAGACTGAATTGAAGGCAAAAATAGGTGTACTTGTGGTAATTGTTAAAACGTACAAACATAGTTCATTGCTGAGACTTCAAGATATATCTTTCATACTCACAGTAAACACATACCACTGATGATGTCTGCCGCAGTAGCAGACGAAACGTTTACACTTCAGGTTCCATTCGATCAAGGCCTACTGTTCCGGATTTTGTTCTATTCAATCACTACACAGTAGTGTATTGTCAAATCAGCCCATTAAGCCTTTTCAGTAACAAACTAAACTTCTGAAACTCTGGTTCAACATTTTGAACATATTGAACTGTGTCTTCAATCTTTCTGAGCGCTAATAATACAATACTCTGCCCAGAAATCAAAACATACCCTCACTCCTCCAACTTAAACACACCTCTGTTTCTAGGATCCATATGGTGCCATTAGGTATTAATGGGTTAATGTGTAGCAGTTTACACATTCATTTAATTGTGGTAATCGACTATCTTGAGATTTTTTTATTTTGGAATGTTAAGCTATTTTGCAAATGAGCCTATTTCTTTGAGATGTAATTTTAGACTTGATTATGCATAGTTCAAAATGGAAGATTGTTTGAAAATATTTGTCTTATGAAATTGTTTTGATTCATCCTGTTACTTATTATTATTATTGAATGCTTTTCTGCGAGAGCACTGGAATTTCAGAAATAATGTTTCTATGTATATGCATACATTTTTTACCAACTTTTTAAATATGATATTTAGATTCTAATTAGAATTTATACTTTTCAGATACTATGCGTACCCAACGAATAATAGCCTCACCTCTCCAAACACCAACAGTGGTATCGGTCTCAGGATTGAGCCCCGCTCAGTTACAAGCAGCGACACAGAGACTCATAGTTTCTACTGGCTCAAACGTACAGGGCAAAGGAGTTGTTGCTACTACTGGTATGCAAGGGAAAACAATTGGCCAAGCGCAGCTAGCAATGATAAGGCAAGCTAGTATGAAACAGCAGTTGAGGCTACACACTAGTAATATTTCCCAGAACATTAAAACATCTACTGTTACCATTGGTGGACAGCAGGCAGTGGTGCAATTCACCCAAGCGCAGCCCAGAGCTCAATTTGTGAGGCAAGGTACTGTGACAGTCGGAGGAAAGACTGGAATTACTAGAACTGTTAGCGAAGGGGAAGTTGCTCAACTGTTGAAAAAGCAACATCAACTCCAAAAATTGAGCACAGTAGGTGGCACTGCCACTATTCAAAATCTTTCTCCTCAGGTGTTTGCACAGGCTATACAAGCTGGAACGTCTGGAACTCCAGTTGCAACTTTAGTCAAAGCAAGCTCAGCTCCTGGAGGTGAGTGTGGGATATATTTGTTTTGATTTTTTGGATGGATA